CTTGTCCGGCAAAGTCTTGACACGAGTGTCCACCCCGCTCTCCTGCACGCAAACAAAGAAGTGCCTCGGTACACGTAGAAACGACGAGAACAAAAACAAGGAGGTTTTGGTTCTGCAACCCACTTGGCCATGGCCGCCGCCAACCTGCAGCTCACTCTCGCTGGAGTCGGCAGCTTTATTGTCGGCTCTGGTGATCACCGCCTCGATATCTTCATCTGGAGCTCCGCCGCGGTCGGCGTAGGCGACGGCGAGGACAGCAAGGACGTGGAAAGCGGCGAGGGCGGGGAGCAAAGCCATGCGGCGAGGCTGCTTCGAGCTAACGAGATGAAGTCGAGAAGTGAGGAGAAGCAGGGAAACAGCGACGACCACAGATGGAAAAGCGGCACAAGCGAGCAAGGAAGGTTCCCGGGCACTTAGATGGCACGAACGGTAAGCGAATCCAAGCTGACTTTAACCTCCGTAGCTGCGTCGATCGATTCGTTCTACATTGCGCGTCCTTGACGATGTAAGACTCCGACCGGCGTCGACCGTTGACTCACGGTCTATGCGGATCCACTTTCTTGATCATCAACATCATCTTCCGTATCTACGGCCGTATCCAGCCACCAGTTGAATACAGGGCAAGTAGATCAACGAGAAAACTGTTTTCACCCTTAATGGGCTGAGGATTGAGATAATAAATGGGGATAAGAACTCGGATGATGATATTTTTTAGTATGCACATAGGTATAAGATGGGACAGATAGGGTTGGTGAACGAATATGTCATGGCTGGTGAGTCAGCATGGCTTGGTCCACGGGTTAATATTGAGAGTCTTTTGTCGGTTGAGCTGGATGCCGAGGTAGGCTGGGCTCTCGCGAGGGGGTGTTGATCAGCGTTTCTCGGTCTCCAGGTTGGTTGGCAGCTTGTCTTAGTTCGCTGGTTGGCAATCCCCAGGTTGAGACACTTGCGGCTCGAGGGTGGTCGCTTTCCTGCAAAAATGACCTTCGTCGAGTGATTCTCGACTTTGGCCCCTCCGACGAGCAAGTCAGTAGATGTTTTTCTCTCTCTTTTTTTTTTGTCCTCCCTTGGCCGGATGCCGATCATGGGTTTTTATACAACTGTATGAGAGTCAGTCGTACGTGGGTTTGGCGTGACGGTCGATCCTCGAGGAGTGAAATGGTATCTTTGTCGTCCTGGGACGTCCGAAAACGATGCCAGACGATGCCGTCTCAAGCTTTCAGGACGGGACATATCGAACAACGCCTTGATACAGATTCTGACTCGGTGCGTGGGGGTGCTCCCCTTGCTAGCTTGACTGTACCGTGGCGTGACATTGATTGTAACGTGGCCTGGACCCAAAATATACCCTATCAGATAGAACGCTCATAAGTTTTATCATGCACTAGGATGATGATAATTAATTGAGAGAATATGAGAAACCCATAAGTTTATTGCCTCCCATCAGAGATTCCTCATTTCACCATTGCCCCATCTAAATGGGGAATAGAAGGAAGACAAGAAATGAGGGATGAAGATGAGACAAGCAACCAAAGGCCTTGATGTAAAACAATATGTATAATTATTTATACACAATTGATCATTCGAAATACTTATATGATTTTATCTAATTAAGTAAGATATATTATGAATATGATTGGATTCTGATCATGGTTATCGATTAATAGAAAGGAAATCGATAGGATTTCTTAAAAGATGTGATGGAAGAAACTCTCCTAATTGTTTATCTTTCTTAGGGACTCAAAATAATACAACACACAATAATTGGATATGTTGATACACGGATGCGTGGATATGTGACATGATTGAGACATTATATATTTCTCTCATCTTCTCGTCACGTGAACTATCTAGAGATCGTATATCTTTTTTCATACCCCCTTTATCTCTAAATCTATCGATCATAGTGATTTATAAAGAATAAAAAGAGAAAAAAAAAAGTGAGTCTAATTTTTGTTGAACATTGATATCACTATATATCTCGAATTCGATGATGATAGTGTGGTTAAAGATGAGCCAAAGACTTTCTGAGCAATATCGAAATATATGTATCGTAAATTTTACTTTTCCTCTCTTTCTTTTTTTTTCTTTCCTCCTTCCCTTTTTTTTTTTCTCTCTTCCTTTTTTTTTTCTTCTCCTTTTTTTATTATCCAAATCTTATTGTTTATTGAAGGGTAGGGAGGTCATTATATACAATGTGATGAGGCGATAAAATATTAGGTTGATTGAGCCGACGATAAAGCTGCCGACTCCGGCGAGAGTGAGCTGCAGGTTGGCGGCGATGGCCAAGTGGGTTGCAGAACCAAAACCTTCTTGTTCTTGTTCTCGTCGTTTCTACAGGTACCAAGGCACTTCTTTGTTTGCTTGCAGGAGAGCGGGGTGGAGACTCATGTCAAGACTATGCCGGAAAAAGGTCGTGGAAGCCGGCAACCCCGAGGGCCGGGAGGGGCACCATCGACGGCCGGATGCAGGGGCGGCTCTGGTCGCCCATAGGCAGGAGCAACGGATGGGTAGGAACGGCTCTCGCGGCAGTGGAGAAGTATACAATCTCTTTACCCCTACTTCTTCTTCCATTCCAATGACGTGTATGAGAAATAAAAGGTTTCTTGTTCTTTTTGTAGAGTTGCAGAAATTTCAGATCACTTCTGCTGAATCTGATGAAGCGAGATTGGGGAAAGGAGCAGATTCTGAAGCAAGGGTATGCATGTTTCTCATTCTCGTCACGTTCAATCGACTCGAAATCCATGAATTGACTTGCTATTGATAGATTTTGTGGATTTTGATGAGGGGTTCTGCCCTTTGATCTCTCAATACTATCGATTATGTTCCCTTCCTGCTTTTTCCCAAGTCCAACAAGTTGTCTACATATCGGAGCTGCAGGAGCATGAAAAATCCATAGAACAAATGCCAACATCTAATGTTGTTGTTTTAGAATGGTTCATTGCACATATAAATCGATTGAATTGGACCAAAAGATGGGTTGGATATTCACTATGAATGAACAGAAAGCAAATGATTATTTGACTTGCTAAATAGTTTATGTAAATTGTTTGTTCACATCAACCACTTGTGATCTCATTTTCTTGCATGGCATACACCCAGATCTTTTAACCTTATCATATGTTTGTTGGAGTAACATTTCCGAAAGGGAAATCTTCATGCTTTCTTTCGGCAGCCCATATATGCACATGCTAAACCAGCTTGTGGGAGAGATGATGAGAGCCCCAGAAGTCCTCTGCAACAAAAAGTCCATGGGGAACCGAGTCAGAAGCATGATCAAGTGAACAGTGTGTCATTGGATCGAATGCCTGAGGTATACAATATGTTCGTTGCCCCCTTACTAACCGAACAGTCATACTCGTAGTCTAGAGATGAAATTCCTGAAGAGAACTACATTGAAACAGCATCTCCACACAACTTTGGGAGTTTCAGGTGTGACCCAACCATCTAATGGCGAGACGGCTATCCAAGTGCAAACACTGTTGGTACGGCAACTCTGTAACTCTATGAAATAGCAAATGCCATCCATTTTCTCTTCATCGTATCTGTTAGAAGATGACTACTCTGCCATTGACTATTATCCCACAAATAGGATATATTTTCTAAATAATCTTTCTATTAACAGTGTTATTGAGAGACGTACAAATTTGTTTCTTTGTTCAGTTTTCATGTAATTAAACAATAAACAAACCGAACAAAAGCTAAATGTGCATATGCATTACTTTAAATGTCATATTAATTAAAATTATGATACTGCCATCAGTATGCTATGAATTTATCTTGGCCTATGGTGATTATAACTCAGATCTCTTATGTACTCATTTCTCAACCAAGTGTATCAGTTGCTGGTAGTGTCAGAAACACTGGTGGTTTCTCCATATATAAGAAAGTGAAGTGACCAAGTCCTTGTCTCTTAAATGTACACAAATGTGAATTGATGTGACATGGAAGCAATGATGTTCCTAATGGTTATGGTGTTTGAGAGAGTTTTGTTGGCCATAAGATTCAAAACTTATACCGGACAACTAGCAAGAAGTAGATCTTTTGATGTTCTGAAATTAGACGATTTAATGTATGAGATGAAAGATCAATGATGCAGTTAATGATCCCAAGATAATATTTAGGAATGCTCCTTTGTGTGGACATTCACAGGAAACAAAGAACATTAGACTCAAAAATGTCATGCACAAAACATCTTTCAGTGGCATAACAGTGAGCTTTTGGAATTGAATTATAATTTTAAAAAATGTGCTAGCTAGCTTAGTTTATAAAGAAAATCACCGCAAGGTTCTTCGATCAAAACTCGACCTTTTTCACTTATCCTTTGCAAAAAAAAAAAAGTTTAGAAGGTTGTATATTATGATATCCATGGCAGAATATTTATTAACTTGGTTACTGGTGATCTGTTAAATTCTCATGGCATTTCTATGAGCTTGGAATCAGTGGATGTTATGCAAAGATTTCTTGTATCTTGGCCGAATGTAAGATGGATAACATGATGGCATGGATTTGTTTGGATGATCGTTTGGTAATTGAGGACCCGTGAAAAAATGGCACTTATAGAAACTTGAAGACTGCATCTTAGAATTTATATTGATCTAAAATTCTTGATAGCTGTGTTCATATCTGCACAGCGAGATGTTTAGTACTGAATATAGTTTCAGTTTAGTTCCGTGAGAAAATTTTTATTTTTTTTGACAGTTTTGAATATTCTGATCATGCTTTTGCATATCTAGCTAATCTGAATTCATAACAAATTGTATGAATTCGAAATAAACTTGTAATTTCATATGCTCTTCAGACAGCTGAAATAAGCTGATGGGAACTTGTTTGAATGTCTACTTTTGTTTACGAGCACATCATTTAGCTTATCGATAACCAGATATTTGTTTAGATTGTCTTTCAAATTGATAGTGCAGGTGTTGATGTATAAACCTACTGCAAAAAATGGTAATGACATAGAGCAGCATGTTGACAAAACATTGTCGACCTTCTCATTACACATTATCTTTAATTTTTAGCATACATGGACCTCATTTTGTGTAAATATCAAATAAATTAGAATTGACAACCCCTCTGGTTTTGCTTATGGCAGAATCAACCGACTGATGAAAGAGTAGTGCTGCACAGTCGCAGAGAAGAAGTGATAAAAAGTGCCATGAAGTTTTCATACATGTCAATCGGCATTTCTGGTGGTGCATTGGTAACTATCTTCTTTGGAAACTACGTAAACCAATGGGAACACAGCCACAATTTTCACCTCAAGATCTGCACCTTGATCATGCTCGCATCCTTTGTTTCTGCAGTCAGCATTCTGCTGCTTAATTTTCTCCAACACCACATCAGGGTCTCTCTACAAGTCTTCAGAAGCCTCAAGTGCACAACCTTTGCACTACTTGTCCTGGCACTGCTCGATGTGTCCATTCTTTTTATGAAGATACTTGCACTGTTTGCTTTCGTCCCAACAATTGCCGTGGTTGTGATTGCCTGTGTGATTGCATTCGATGAGGCGCCATCAACAAGTGATGACCATCATCAGCAATAGCCTCTCTTGTAATATGCTGATGCTGAATAATATATGATAGTATAGATATATTGTAATTCATTATCATGAATTTTTTTATTTAGTATGATTTAAATATTTTAATTTTTTATTCATTATAAATAAAACTGTTATTATTAAATATTTTATTTAGTATCATTAAAATTCTTAATTATGATTCAAACATTACAAATTTAAATTTCTTCTTAAACGAAATTGGTAATAATAAATGTTCTTGATGGGAGAACATCTATATAAAGGAGGCTTTTGGTCTCTGATCTAAATATCTATTTAAAGTCTAAAGGATTTTTTACATCATCTAAAACTAGAATTCTGAATCAAGAAATATCAAAATTAAAAAAAAAATCATTGTTGAAATTTTCGACAATGACCGGAGGTATGTAATTTTGTTTTCACATTAAGTTTTCTTGTGTTTCTATTATAATAATTTAGAAACACATTTTGATATCAAAATTTCTAACATATATATGATAGTCAATAACCCTTGAAACCATACATCTTTTTAGGAAGATGACCTGATTGTTGATGTTGACACAATCACTTTGTATGTTTAAATTGTAATGTTGATGTTGTTAACACATGTTTAGATGGATTTGGTTACACTCTTGTTGGATTATTTTCGGGGTTACATATTTTTCTTGTCATTCTCTTTGTACTGCTTGCTTCCGTCCACGAAGAAGAAGAAGATGCTGTTTGAGGCCAAGATTAAAATTGTTTTTGTTTGTTAATTTACAATATCGTAATGCTCTCATCAAATTAAGAATCTGATTGTGGTGAAACGAAGGACGTTGGGGTACATTACGGATGGCATTTATTGGTCCGATGTGTGTCATTCGATATATGTCTTCCAAAGTTTTGTCAATTCTTTCATAATCATTCGAAAACTCGTAGGGGAGGGTTTTTTTTTTTCTCAAGAGGAAGATTCAAGCCGAAGTCTCGATCTGATTTCTATTTTAATCGAGGTAAATCAAATCTTAATCTCTAAGCTAATTTCATGCATTTATATCTATAGCTTACTATTCACAACCTCTTTCTATTGACAACCCCTACAAAAATAATAAAATATAATTATACTATCAACATACCCTTAATTACTGATCATATCCTTATTCCCATAATTATTTCATCTACTAGTCAATCATTCTTATTAGCACTAATATCAAAACCTTAGTTACGTCACTTGTCACTTGTCGTCCAATGCTGCTCGTCGCTAAACGCTGCTTGACGAAGAGGAAGATGCCACTCACCACTCGGCATTGCTCCACATCGGTTGTCGCTTGACATTGTTTGATGCCAATAGTTATCGAACATCACTTGCTTGTTTATCGTTGGACGCCAATAGTTATCAAACATCACTTGCCACTAACCACTCGTCTAGGATGATGTCATTGATATCCCGACATCATGTGATCGATAGCTTAACACCATATGACTAGCACGGTATCATTTCCCACAAGATTAGTTTTTTATGCTCATAAATTAATTTTATAATCAAAATATGAGATTTAATTAATTTTTATATTTTTGATGAAAGACTCTACTTGTCTTGATGGCATAAGATTTAATCATGGGTAGGTATCATGAATATCAAATTACATTAAATTCAAGAGATATTAAATGGAACATAACTCTACAAGAATCACATAAAAGTTTGTAATTATAGCATTGATTCATAGATTCTCTTCCATTGTCATCAGCAAAATCATTGCTAAAAAGGAGAACACAATGATCAAAATCATCATCATAATTCATCTCCAATAAAAGGTTCAAAAATAACAAGATCAAGTTATGAAACATTGTTAATACACAAGTCATAAATACCAATGAGTCACAAGAAAAACAAGTCATAAATATTATTTCCTACTTAAATCCCTGATTCAATTCCTAGTCCTAATTCTTCGAGTAGTTTGAATCTATTTAGAACTTCTAAAATACCTACCATTACCAAACTTGATTAGGTGACAAGCGAGCGTGCCTGGGATCAAGTTCTTGCAGTGTTAGCAATCATAAGCTCTCTGTGTAGTAATGCTTGGATTCTTTTGGCAGTCTAAAAAGTCCAACATGCCAGGTTTCTTCGTTGGATCCTCACATGCAATACGCTCTTCTTCTCTAAACCCTGTCAACAGTATCATCAGAGAGAGATAGAGAAA